TTTAATTTGAAAAGCCATTAGAATATTCTTTCCTCTATGCATGCTTACATTAGGTAGTTCAACACAGTTTACAACATATAAGTCTTAGGAAAAAGGTTGTCCTCTCAACAACGATTGAATTTGAGACATTCCAGATTCCAGATACCAAAGATTATGATAAAATTAAGCAGTTCTCTTTCCAAAATTCCAGATACCAGTCTTAACCACCAAGTGCCAAGGACACACAGAAGGGTTTCTTCCAATTCCTTGAAAATACCTGCTGTTATCGGTACAATGGTTAGTGGTACAGGCTGCCGCAACGGCGAGCCCAATTTTAAATCTTGTAAATTGGCTTGGGGTTTGGAGTGTCTGTGCAGTACAGAAGTGCTTAAAATACTGGCAAACCAAAGGTCTTCTCGTAAAACTATGTGTTTGGAGAAGAGGATTCGGAGACCCTGGGATTCGTCTATCGGGGTATTCTTCATCAATGGAGCTTCAGTTTTCTCAGGAATGTAATTCGGTCACCCTTTGTGGTATATTTGGGCAACTCTGTCAGTAATCAGACAGCTGAATGACCGATTGTTTAGTCCATTATATATGGTTATTTCTGTACAATGCATTAAGTTGTATCTGTGAGACCATTTGCAACAAAACAACATTCCAATCACTTACTGTTTTCCCTAAGCCAATGACATCATATCTACTGTTACCTCTCGATTAAGAACATAATAATGTAAACAACATCCGCCGTCAATCCAAAATCAGGATTAATTTAAGGTACGTTAAAAATTCATGAAATAAGAAGAAAACTTATTATAATTTGTGCAGATATTAGTTTGTTATTTAGAGATGGAAACAGAAAATATCAGCTATGTCCTGCCAGAATTCAAACTTCGGATTCCAAGCGGACGTGCTAGCATTTACACCACGCTAATAAGCAGAAGGAAGAGCAAGTATTACTTATATTTTCCCCTATTTAAAGTGTGACTGAGAAGAGAGAAGGTGCAGTTGCTATATCTAGCTGGATAGGAATATCCATCCACCACATTTTATAGGGGCGCACCTGTGGGAATATTAGGATTATTAGAAGCTTGGAAAACCTAACACTAAGCAGTGCTCTTTCCCAATTTCGAATTCCATAACTTCCGATTGCCAGATGGACATGTTATCATTTACGATAAGAGGGCATGCAGAGGAGAGAACGAAAAATCCTCATACATTAGCAAAACAATATTATTGATTAGGGTGTCTGAGAAAGAAGTGACGAAAAAGAGAGACGCACGTAATTGAAATCAATGCACTTATTACACAGTTGTTTCCTTACCCTGAAATAAGGAATTCAAGAAGTCTGCTCTCTAGAAATACCTAGCGGACTTGACTACTTTCGAATTTCTTTCTATGGCTTCTTTCTCCCTTCCGATTTCTTTCTGTTTGGAGTTTGTTAGGGAAAGAGTGAATCGAAATTCGTGACCGATGTTGTAGATCTGTATGTCCGAAATTGGGGGCGCTAGCATGACAGAAATGCTCCCGATAGTGATGTTTCGGACGTGTGGAATGGCATAGATTATTAACTAGACACAACCTGAACCACAAATGGCGCTCACATTAATATGCATTATGCATTAAAACTTTTTGAGTAATTCTTTCCATCTTTCCATCTATACGAACTACAACACATTGCAGTAGGCGGGCGCATTGATTTCGGATATTTGTATCAATCTTTTTACTTCACTTTCTCTCCGAATACCCTGCATTTTGAAGCGATTTGCTATGTTTAAAATATTAAATGAGTATTCAAAACGAAAAGAACAGATTATTGTGAATATTTATATATATATATATATATATATCATTAGACAGGAAGAACTAAATTATAAATGGCATTAAAGCAATATTAACAACAGAAAATTAAACAGTTACATCGAATCCAAACTCGCTTAAAAAGTATGGTAAAACTTTCTGCTTTTTTAGTCAAGTTTATTTAGCACACATCACTTGCGAATAGTCCTACTATTCCCCACACTATCGTTTCGCCTTTCTTCAATAAACAATCTTGAAAATTCTTTTAGACAAGTCTTGGTTAATTAGCGAGTTAATTCACTCAGGTTAATCGCTAGTTGACTGTAATTTCTCTATAATTGTTAATGCATCGTTAGGAGTTTTCTCATATCAGACATCGTCTAGGTATTACCGTTTATGCACATATTCTCAATGATGTCAACATTAATTTATATTTTCTCATGAAGCTACAGCTTTGCTGGGACGCTCAGATTTGCTACTAATTAGGTTTGAGTTTATTCGAATTACTTTTAATTACTTGACATTTCACACTACAGAGTATTCATACTAGCTTGAGTGGAACCTTATGTAGGTGATTTCATCTCGCCTGGTATTCAGAGACGATAATATGAATTTTACATATAAGAAAGCAAATTGCTTGGGTAATCAGATCAAAAATTGAATATTACATCTTCTATTATTTTATATTATAAATTTATACAATCGAATTGATGTAACATTGTCTTGGTTTCACGTATAGGTAATTTCAGAATGGAAACAAAAAAATTAAAAGCAAATTAAAATTCGATTTCAATCTTAACATCGCATTATAAAGTTTTTATATTCTTACTGAACTCGATATTTACCAATCTACTCTTGGGTTCACTCCTATTAAAACACCATTTTTTGCCTTTTTAAGGTTTTGTTTTTTTCTTCTTGCTTACTTCACGTAAAATTCAACAGTAAAATCAGAACAATTTTAAAAACAGCAGATTTTTAAAATTCCTGCTAAAGTGATTAGTATTACCATACATTTTTCCATTTTAGCAAGCTTTCCTCAGTTCATCTCATCAATGTTCAGGTTTTTCAGCCAGATGACCTATAAAGCTTTTCTTTCTCTCTTAAGCCTCATTAAATTCAACAGCAAAATCAGAAAAAAATTAAAAGCAGCACATACATAGAATTTTCCATACAGTATTAAGTGTTACAAAGATGACTTACACAGCCTTTTAGTTTTTTTAAACTTCTTGATTTTTTAACTTCATTTATTAAGCCTCACTTTTTTCCGCACCTACGCCACATAAAATTCAACAGCGAAATCATAAAATATTTAAAAACAGAATAATTCAAGAGCAAAATCATAAAAATTTAAAAAAGTGATTGCCTTTAAAATTTCCAATAGAGTATTAACACGTTCCCTGCCGCCTGGGGCGTATGCGCCCCACGTTAAATTTTCCGTTCAAGCCATTTGGTATTATCATTGTAAAATGAAGAATTTTTTAAAAATTCATTATGCAGTCAATTATGGGCATCTTAATACTACTGCTGATGCCTTCATTTAATCGTCGGGCGTATACGCCCACGCGGGCAATTTTTTTTATCGCCAGAAACAAAATAATACAAATGCTAAGAGTGGGGCGCATACGCCCCACGCGGCCTGAACGGAAAGTCTTCAAAAAATGGCCTGGCAGGGAACGTGTTAAGTTTTGCCATACATTCTTTTATATTCGCTATATTATTTCTTTAAAAGTAATATATTGCATAACATTTAGTGGCAGCAATTCTTTTATCTGAAAAGTGATGCGGACATGAAAGTGAGGATATAGACTAATGGCTCCTCTTCGTGCAAAACAAATATCTATTTCTATGTAATTCAGGTAGACTGAGGACTCTTGCACAGTTTCACCTAGAACAGTCTATGGATTCATCAGCTGATCCTCAATCCATCCTAGACATTTTTTCTGGTGGAACATTTGGACACCGAAACGACAGTATCGAAAGTAGAGGTGCCACATTCCAAAGGGCTATACTTTTGAAAATTAAGAAATCTGAGAAGTTGAGATGGTTCCAATGAGAAGATAAAAATAATGAGAAGTTAAATGCCTGAAAATAATATTGAAAATCCATTGAGTGATTGGAGGAAAATATAACATTTTACTAAATGAAGTTTTCCTAATATCCATATGGGAAAAAATTCGGAAAATGTAGCAATTGGTTCTATATGTGATTAAAAAAACTCATAGGGGAACTCATGAGTATGTACTAGGTTTGGTGCTGATAGACACTTCATAATATGCATATAGAACTTACTTCATAGCACATGCTGGGAACATTTCGAAACGTATCTATGTTGTATGTTGAAATGTCCGCCTTAAGAATGTAGTTGCAACACGCACAACTTTAACATGTCATACAGACCACGATGGGAGATTTGTAGCACATGTTGGGAACTTTTCGAAAAGTACGTTTACTGTACGTTACCAATACTGCACAATTTAGAGCACATTCTGAATACTTTTGTCGCACACAATCCAACGCATATTTAAAGCGTTCTAAATGCAAAACTAACTGTTTTGGAACAAACGAGACGCTCTCTGAACGCTCCGATGTTCTTTGCGGTTGGTATGGCCTCAGCCAACGTAAGCAATTCGATTTTTGTGTTATTCCTACGTTCTCGGTTACTTAGACTTGCACATGTACTGCAACAGAGCTCTCTGCTTCTGCTAAAGAAGAGCTGGATCTTACCCCTTCAAAACATAAGATACTCTTGCAGAACATCCTAGTTCTTCCGAGATACAGCAATATCTCTCATAGTCAAGGTAATCGGTTTTGCCAACATCCCGGATTGTTTGAAACCAGACTGACGGACAAAGTAAACGCATACAAAAATAGTAATTTGTTCCCAAATTTTGTTTCTTTCTGTTTATGAGTAAAGTAAGCGCAATTAATAAATTCAAGAGCCTTTGATCGATTTTAATTTTGGGTGATGTTGAGAGTTGCATTGTGTAAAACTCGAATGAGCATGTTTGCTGTACGTTAAACTTAATGGGTGCTGTCCTTGAGTTAGTATGTGAGGAAAAACCATAATATGAGAAGATAGAGATGGATAGCAAGTGATTAACACACATGACTGATATATCGACAGGTACTTCGTTTCAAAAATTCCATATGACTTCTGTATAACAGCAATTCCATATAAATAATTTCATGGATATTATACTAGTTCCTTATTCCCATTCTAGTCTTTGAGAGCTATTTTTCATGTCAGAATTCCATACACCACCCTGGAGAGAATCATGGCTACTGGCCAAGTACCACACCCACTTCGGATAGACACATCCGGAAGATACACAGTCTTCACCCACATTTCTTGGCTTCTACTTCAGGATTATATAGCGCTCTTGCTTCTTCAGCACTGGGCTACCGCAACATCATACTGAATTAAAATTCAACAGGTTATGAGCCTAGTTAACCAATGCTCCCAAGAAGTCCATTAGAGATGTACTTCTGAGCAGTAAGTCAAACGGCTGTGTTATTGGTGTAAGACAAGGTAAGTAAAATTTATATTTTTTTCTCTGGTATTATTGAAATTGTATGTAAGTAGTGAAAACAGTGAAACCGAATATTCAAACTGAAAAAACTTGCAGGTAACAGTAATATTAAAATATGGATTTTGCAAGTGAAAAATGGCTTTAGTGTAGTCAGATTTTGAGAAACCGCGAATGGGTACGTAATGAAGCCTGGAACTTCCGAAACTAACCAAGCCAAACTTAATAAGTGGGGAACAAAAGCTCAAAAATATTTAGCACTTATTGCTCTGAGCGTGGAATCATCTGAGGCAATGGACATTTAAGAAAGTCAAAGTTCGTACGAAGCGTGGGTGACACTGCACAAAATTCATCAGCCAAATGTTCCTATTAAAAATTAGACTTATGAAGCAACTCATCTTTAAAATGACGAACTCGAATAAAAAAATGCAAGATTACTTAACTTCTTTTTTGCAAGTTGTAGATAAACTTGCAGAAATAGAAATTGAAATTCCATACGAATTCCTAATTGTTACTGTGTAGAATAACCCAAGAATCTAAATATCCAAGAATATGCTCTTGGTCGCCAGATTAAGATTCGTTTACTGCCCTCATTGCATTTGATATACATTCAGAAACGCTTCTAATGCTGAATATGTAGACTGGTGTATTTTCCTTCAGAAATATAGTGATTTAGACTCAAAGTATTGGAGAGCTAGGTAAATAATGACGTAATAGCCAAGAGTTCGGTGTTTGTATGCAACTTATTATATGAGGAAAATATAACTTTAGAGCTACAAAAATTTAAAATAATGGTCCATCTGGGATGATGTTTTATAAATGCCACACACGTTCCCACAAATATCTTTCCATGCCCTCTTTTCACGAAAATGAGATTTCGATTTTAGATTATTCATTTCATTCAGCCCCATCTCATTATCATTTTTAATGAATGCTCAAAATTTCGACATCATCAGTATTTAACCATTTGCATAATGCAACGTACTGAGATACCTCAATAATATTTACATAGGTAATGAACCGTTGACGTAGCTTTGCATGGTATAACAGACATTTACTCCTCAAAACTAGATGGCCCATCAACTACCGAGATGTCAAACCACCGAAGACTGGCAAATCGAACCCTGTTCAAATCCCAGCAAAGAAGTTGTCTGCATGGGATGTAATGTTTGAATTACGGCAAAGCAATGTGAAGGTCATCTTCCTAAAGAAAGGAATTCTTCCTAGATAGTTTCCTAAAGATAATTGACTCGTATTCACTTTACACATCGAGAGAACGGTGAAACTTCCATCGCAGACAGACCATTAACGAGATATGAACTTAATTACCAGCTGCCAGAAATTTTGCCATTCAACCTCTTGTGAACTCATGAAGAATCGAAGTGACTAAAACATTGTGCTCAGAAATTTCGAAAAGAATACGATGCTTAAAAAAACTGCTTCTTGGAACTTTTAGTCACACAAGTTCTATGGTTAATTATCACTAGATTGTTATCTTTTTCTTATTCACATAAAGAAACATATTGTAGTTGATTAATTATTTGGAAAGAAAAGCACCCGAGGAGTATTTTCCTAAGGGAAGGATTGCCCTTTCGTGGATGATATTTCACGAGAAGTTGGCTCATATTTACTTATGGGTAAAACGACGAAATCCCACACATCCAGCCTGTCTGCCGAGAATTTAATTTGAGTAGAATTATCGCTCGACGGCTTATGGGCTTAGCTGCATCGGAATTTTTTATGTTTCCTATAAGTGTGATGTAAATACGAGCTAATGCGCCAGTTGCATTATCAGTGTATCATTTCTTTTAATGTTATTTCTTTTAAAGTGTTTATTGTTTGCCTATCTCATTAACCAATTAGGCCAATATATATATGTATCCAATGTCCCTGTATGAAATTTTTATTAATTGTATACTGAAGCATATATGCATACGCCCTTGTTTGGCCACGTCAAAATCTCATATTCTTCATTAATAATTTCCTGAAATCTTCGCGGCCCTCGCGGAAAGCCGCGAAGATTGTGTTGTACTAGATAGGTGTGGGTACCAGACGAAACCCGATTTGTAACGTACAGCCGTCCGGGTGTCCGGTCCCTGCATTCAACTGTCACCTGTAAATACAAGCCAACGTTCCCTAAAAACGAAGGCGTCGTTCATTTCATGCCAGATAGCCTTCGAGGGCTTATTCATAATCTAAGACATCTTAAATTGGTGACCCTCCGAAGCAATTTTATCGACTCTGAGAACACATTCCCCGTTAATTAATTAGCATTACTATAACGTTAGTTATTATGTAAAGAATTTAAGTAAATGTTTCAGATTTAGAAGGTTTTTGAATCCATTCTTACATAATTTTCAAAAATATTAAAGAAGAATAGGAATAACGTCTCAAAACATCTAGAAATGGAGCTAATAAATTTGTCGTGTGATATAAATCTTATTGAAAGATCTGAAGACACAGATTTGATTAACATTTATTCGTAATTATCAAAATATAAATATTTTCAGCTGCGAATTTAATGTAAGTATGCAAGAATGATCGCGTTGTTTGTTAACGCATTTACATGTCAACAGTTTTCTTTCCGCAACTGAAAATTAATAAGATTAAAAAAAGCAACTAGGTTGGCCCCTGAGCATCTACAATTCGTAATAAAGGTATTTTCTAATAATCTTTTTCCAAAGTTACAAACTTTATCAGTATCTGACGCCATTATGTGTTGTAGCTTTATATTTATTTACCTACAAATATATGTATTCTTCTGACGCTATTAAAGAAATTATTTCTGACGCTATTAAAGAAAAATTTAATAAATAAAGGTAAAAAATAAATTTTCATTATTTTTTTGGTTCCAAAAGGAAAGTTTCCGGAATTTGTTTGTTTCAACATAAGTTTTTCTCTGGATAGTTTAACATTTAGAATTATTTTAAATAAATGTTAGTCTGAAAATTTAATACTAAACTATATTTGAGTTACAGAGCGGAACCAATAGAAATTTTGCAGATACCAGCCTTTGGATTTCAGACAGAAAATAAACACAATTTAGGATTTTACCTTTGCTTTATTATTATTACCATGCCTATGTACATTTTGATAAATATTTAGTACATAAAATTTCGTTAAAAATATGTGTTTTGTTAAAAATAAAACTTTTAATTTCAGGGGAAAAATTTGGCCTGCCAGCTGTTTTACGTAGTGCTTTTGCCCCACATACAATTTAAGTTTGAGAACACAGATCCAAATCTATTCAAAATTTAGACTCTATTACAAACGTTTGTAACGTTTATTCTGTTTTCTGTGAAAAAAACGCTACTTAGAATTACTACATAGACTCAGTCTTCTAGCACAAATCTTCTTTCTTTTCTAGCTTATTTATTTTATGAATTCTTCTTGATTTGAATTTTCATCTATGTCACCAATGAAAATACATTCTTTCCTTTGTCTTGGATTGTTCGTCGCTGAGAATTTTAACGTGATTCCTGGCAACTGTTCCTAGTTGGAAATGTTTTTCCATGAAGCAAGACTAAGTGCGGGACCCAAAAGAGTAAACAAACACCATACCGCGAGATTAAAATTCTCCATAATCAAGGAACTGCGTGACAGAGACAGGAAATGAAACGTCTTGCGGATTCGTCTATAATCTAAATATTTTCTCTTCCTTGCGCGTCTGCGGAATCGAAAGATTCTTTAGAAACAAACTTCGGTATTGAAGATTTGTTCAGTTCTCCTCGTTGGTTTGTGGATTTCGTTTCAATATTCTATCTTGTAATGTGTATAACATTTACAGTTTGATCAAGTTACGCATACGAGTTTGCAAAATGATCTTATACACATGCTTCTTAACTTTTGTAGAGGTAATACTTGGTATTTGTAATTTTCGAGTACACACAAGTTTATTCACCATGATTTTGGTTTATTAAGTATTTATATTAATTAAGTTTAATAGTAAAATCGTAAATCTTTCTTATATCTGATTTGATAATTGTGTAATTTTTGCACACATTCTACAGTAGTACTTTCGACTATGAGTAAAACAGCGGATGTTTGAATAATATCCGCTGTAAAACGTTCATCAGAGGAGGAATGGATAAAATCACTGTTATTGATTTGTCGCTGGTTCAACAGCCTAAGCGTTTTCAACATTTACAGAGTGTATATGGTCTAGGTTTTCTTAGGAAATCCTCCATGTCAACATTCCTTCTGTTAGGCATATAAGCTTCGCTTCTTTGAAATTCCATTAAATCAACATTCACTAAATATCCATTATCCATATATGACCAAAAGTAATATAATAAAAACCAAATATCATAATTCATTAAACAAACTCATTAAAGCAATTCATTAGACAAATATCTACACAAATAAGTTACTTAAACATGTTTTTAAATGAAAGCAAATATGAAAGTATAAACGAACAGCAACAGCTAAAGGAATAAATATTTCCCAGAAATCTGGGAATTCTATGAAGCAGGAAATTGACCGTGTGACACATACGAATACGGAAATGTATCAGAAATCAAAACATTAATGAAAGAGCGATAGCAATTCTGAAACGACTAATAGATCTGAATTTCAGCTGTGACGTCTGTCTTTCAAAGAATGTTTTAGAAGATTTCTTATGCTTGAAGGGCTGGAACAAATGATAATTATATCGAATAGAATGAATAAGAGGCTGCTTTATATAGAGTCTTTTACCACCGGTTGATTGACCTGGTGGCGCTGCCAAGGGAAGGGGTGCATTTGTGAGGCATTTTTAAAGGGAGAAAGGGTTTTATCCCTTTATATATGAGGAAAACATTGGTGCATCCAGCTGTTTCGCCTGGAATCAAACCCAGGTTGAACTAGCAGTGTTCAGCTCCTTTACCGCTTGGCCTTTAGCTTATTGGGTAAAACCAATTAAATAATAGAAGGAACCTGCCTTTAAACCCTAATGCATGGGCTAGTCGCATGAAGGCTTGCGGTTTCTCCGCATGTCTGTCGTAAATATGAAACCATTTCTCTTAGTATATGTCTCACAATGGCATCCCTCTTCATAGGGAAACAGTCCCCTCGCATGCTTTGCCATGAATTCTGCATACGGCAAAGCACATAAATTATCTACACATATATTTGTAAATAAAACAAAACAAAAGTACAAAAGCAGTTTAGTAAACAAAATAAGCAGAAATAAATTTTTTAAACAAAGTCCTTTTGTAGATAAAACAAAACATAAGCGCATGCACTTATCAGCAAAACAAATGTCAATTAACATCCAATCAGCATCCCCGATAAAGTCACAGATAATACCTACATACGGAATTTGGAAGTCTTGCATTATACAGAATCCCTGAATCAATACTTGAAGGGATACCTGAGCAATACATAAAGAAACCTTCATAAGTAAATATAACGCCTTTATTTCGAAAGAGGTTTCATAAGGCAAAATACATTTTTATGCAAGATGGTGCATATAAGGATAGAAGGATTATACGATTTCTCAGGGGAACTAATGAACTTCTTCATTAAGGCAATAAACTAGACATTGATGCTCTTGGTTAAATTCTTTTTGAAGAATTAACTGACGATCCTGAGTCAGTATATAGTTTGATTAAATTATTCGAATGGTAGAAATGTAATGTAAAATGCGAATACGTGTTTCACAAATTGCATAAAACGAAATAAAATTTGCACAGTGTTAAAGAATGTAAAGTAAAAGGCCATTTCTTGCTTTACAGGATGCAATCTCGTCGAGATGAGAAAGAAAAAAATTATTGAAAACAAGACATAATGCACTATTAATGTGAGTATAGAAGAGAAATTTAAAAATATTTATTCTTCTCTGTATATAAACAACATACAAATAGGAATAAATAGTTTTAAATATCGCGTTACATTTAGTAAATTGAAAAGCTCTGCTTCTTTCATATCACTTGGAAAGGCATTAAATTAATAATTAATGAGTATAAAATTCAATGAATAAAATAATTGCTTGAGAAAATTTCCTCCTTGGTTTCATCTGTCACAATACGTAACTTGCAATGATTGCCGATTATTAAAAAAAGTTACCATTACAAAGCCTTTTCTCCACTATCATAAATCTAAAATAATTGATCGTTTAGGAACTATTTGGACCTTACCTTAAGGTGGAGAAAGGTTTACGCACTAGCAAAAGAATTTATTTTTAAAAATCCTCCTTTTCATCAGTGCTGAAAGAAAGAAAGAGTGTAAAAATACTTTCGTATCAGCTCCTGAAGCATCTGATACATTATATGATCATTAAATCGGCAGAATAAATAGAAAATAAAATTGTTTAATTAGTCTATAAACTTCAGTTCGAATTATTTCATTTAATGTGAAATCAAAACGTGTGTAACATTTCATACATAATATAAATATTAAGTTGAAAAGATGGTAAGTATGTCCCATTTTATTTTTTACCACACTTTGCTATTGGGATCTAACACTGTAACTTCTGCATTATTAGGACCCACCACTGGCCAAACGTATAAAAAACTGGACTCTGGGATTTCTTTCTAGCTTCTACTCTCAGCAATAGAAAGGACTGCCTTTCACGAGGATATTTCAGCTTAGTTTGTTCGTCTTGCTATTCTTTCACTACTTAGATAAGTAACCATTCAATAATTTGCTATAATAAAAACCTGAATGAAGTCAATGCTTGTAGTTGTTTTGCAATAATTCCTTTCATTGGATAGAGAGGATTCTTAATCATTCTCTCTCACATGAAAAACTATCGGAGTTCTTGATGTCAATCTCTACAAAACTTTCAGGGTGATCAAATATGCAAACAAAACGAAGTAAGGCATTTAGTATTTACCTACAACCAAAAGAACAGGACACGGTCAGAATATTTAAAGTCTTGTACTGGCAACATAATGTATCTGTGAGTCACTGTTACTATACTACAAGGTTTGCTCTTGTGCGATGTCACTGACTCTTATTCTCAAAAGCACCTAATTCTCTTCCCGTCTTCGTTTCTGTCACTTTTGTAAGTGACGTCAGGGCTGGGAAGAGCCTAGTTTTGTTTATCTACTAACATTGCTGTCTTTTACAAAATCGCTCTGTGGTAAGGAGGATGGTGGCAAATAGTACGCGAGTTGTACCGTAGTGACTATTGCTTGAGTATTGTTATGTATATACTGGTCATGTCCAACTACAGGTAGTTCTTAAGTGTAGGAGGTGGAATCTATATCTTTCTATTTGTTAAATTAATTGTAATTTTCATGTTGTGGTACGGATATTAATTACAAATGTCATAGTACAAGCGGTACTAATGCTACCGAGACTTTTACCATGTCAGCGGTAGAAAACTTTTCAGCTATATTGCAAGAAAACATAGGACAACATTGAATAACCGAAAATATATTTCACATTAACATTTTTGAGAATTCTATAGATATGTTGGTTTCCAAAATTTTGTAATTTTGTTGTTGAATTTTATGCTGCGTAAATGCAAATATGAAGAAAGTGATGCTTACTAAAGTTAAAATGGCAAATAAAAAAGTTGGACATCTTATAAACAAAACTGAACACTGTTATCACAGACTGAAAAAGACTTAAAATGAAATGCATGGCAACACTTAACACTTTTTGGGAAATTCTAAAGAAATACTGCTTTTAAAAATTCTGTGATTGTTAGCTCATTTATTTCCGAAAATCGTAAATACTTTACTACCGGAAGATACGTTACGATCGACACTATATTTTCAAATCAAAGCATGAAAACGGATGTGTGCATGAACACATGTTGCTACTGTTGTCTAGTATTTGGAAGAATATACTAATAAAAAACTCGTAGTTTTCATAGTTTACATTGGACCATAAATTCTATAAACAAATTTGATTTTACTTAAAAAACGATCAAACGGAAAAAATATTTTAACTAAAGTTGAATGCTATTCCACAATTCCATATTTTAATATGGAATTAGTGAGAGGTTATTTGTTGACCACATATAAGATGGTTTTTAAATTAAAGTAATACACGCTGTTGTTATATGGAGAAAAAATATTCAGTTAAATTTAAAATTCAAATCAAAAAGCAAAGCACAGTTTTAAAAAAGCTTGAATACGTCTCCGGTGTATTTTTCCTAAAAGCATACAATATTAAAGTATATTATAGAAAAGAACCTTAACATTTAAATAAAATAAAAAAAAGATAAAAGTAGGCCATCATAAACGGCACGAGCTATTTGTAACAGTAGTAGAGCTATTTGTAACATTTGTTTTCTTTGCGTCTAAAAAGTGGGTAGAAGAAATTATTGTATTTCACAAATTCACTTTTATTTAATTAGCTAGATGGAATACTATTATGGAAAGAATGTCTAATTCTGAATAAAAAATAAAACCAAGTAGCATTAAGTTAGATAGGAACAAATATAGCATAAATAAATTTACTGATTTATAGTAACCATAATTGGCCAATTTTATAACAATGTACGTGAAAGCTATCTCAAAGGAAAATGTGTGTTCCTGGAATACTTTCTAAAGAAAATCGAATCCTATTTACGTTACACATGAGAAAATCCATGAAACCACTCGTAGTGACAGCCGCACAGGGTACTAAACGTTTTCCAACTGCTAGTTTTAAGTGGTTTTATTTGCTCGATCACTGGTGAGCACTCATGAACATGAATCGAATAGCAAAATTAAATTTTAACATTTGGAAAGCAACATTTCAAAGCAACATTTTTTGTGAAAAAGGAAAAGAAAATCATTATTCGATTATATTATAAAATCTCTTTAATTTATATCATATTATTAAACAATAAAAAAAATGAAATAAAATTGTAAAAAATGAAAATTTTGGCTTCTCTAATTATTTTAAATGTTAAGTTTAATGTTCCACGGAGTATCGTAAAATCCTTTTGAATTTTTATTTTGAGCTGCAATATCGCCAAAAGAACTGTATGGAAACCCAAGGCTTTGTACAAGTATTTGAATAATACTAGTTTACCAGAAACCTCACTGAAGCCATTTCGAAAGACTTTTCACCCTACTATAAACAGAGTTTGTGAGCGTCAGGTGAATATCTTCAGACACATTTGGAAGGCAATATGTGAACAGCAAATATCCAAAGTATGTTTGTAGCAAACGCGAACGTACTTGAAAAAGAAAAAAAAGAAAGTAAATAAGGAATTCTAAAAAAAAAAAAAAAAAAAAAAAAAAAAAAAAAAAAAAAAAGTGAAACTGAAAAGCGTTTTTCAGGACCAGCATAGCCTTGCGCATGCATGAAACGAAACCATTTGACTTCCATTTAAATATAAAAAAATAAAAATATTTCTGAAACGACCAGTCGTAAGGATTTCTTCGCTCGTATTCGATATGCAGACGTATTGCTTTGATTTACCAGCCACGACATCAAAACCCAAGAGAAAAATCCAGCGTATCATCGAAATGAAACTTTTTTCAGAAACACTGTATTTCAAGTGACTCAAGAAAAGGTGTTGTAAGAAACAGACCAATCCAATGTTAAAAAGACATAGATTGCATTAAGTAGTAGAACATTATTTAGTGGCAGTATATATAATAAAATCTTTTCAGCTATAATAAATGAAGAAATTCTTACTGGGCGCCTTAGAAACGGTCGCTCTCGTGTTATTCATTTATACTTACTGGAAGTCGAGCATGAACACCATCGCAATGATGTCCTGTTAGGGAATAACAAATATATAACATTAAGTCGTTAATGCATTGCTTTGTACGTAAGTAATGGAAGTAATGGGGTAGAGCTCTTTTCTCTTCGATTATAAGGATTATAAGTATTGGGACAACTCTTACAGCGCGCCTCAGAATTATTCATCAGTAAGAAGTAGTACGGGGCCCCACTGCTCTGGGGTTGAAATGCGATATTCACGTGCCCAATTCTCTGACATGCGATAGAGGCATAAGAACACAAACTACGGGTCATCGGGCATACAGTCCACTTTCATGTAGTCGACGCGACACAGTACGGCACTATATGGGCCGCCCTGAGGCAGCAGAGAGATGTAACGCGAGCTGTCTATTTTTCGCTATCTACGGCATCCATAGCACCAAAAAGAATCATCTTCCGTTGTGGTAATCATGTGGCGTCAAGACCCAAATTTTTAACAGGTGTTTTGATCCCTTTAGTAAAGATTCCATAGCCTATTGATGACACTTCGATGCACATTTAGCTCTCTAGCAAAAGCGAATTGTCTTGCATCAGCTTGCAATTTCCTGACAGTTCTCCAATGCATTTCGTCGTGCAGACAGTGTTTTCGGCTTATGCTTTATGCTTTAACTATCTCGTATCTCTAATTAAACGGAACTGTCGCTGCTTGCGAATTGACGTATAAGTAACCACTTTATAAGGCATTGTGGTGTGATTGTGGGACTGTGTTTTACGCTAATTACCTACTGCATTCTGGGATGCAACCTCTACCTCACGTATAAATTTTATGCTCTAATTCCCCTTTTACATTCACAACTTTTCTTTTAACGCTTGCTGCTTACTTTTTGAGCACGAGCGTGTATATTACTGTGGATTTAAATTTATAACATTATGATAAAGCAAACTATAATTATCTATCTGTGATATTACGGAACTTGATTTTCTTTGGAGTGTAAACTAAAATAAAACTCCTAACATATATTAAGCGAATCATGCCTATAATTATTTTCAGGCAGAGCTATTACCAATTAACGAAGCTATGAAATATATAAAGGTATTTTCAGATAAATAGTATAATAATATCAAACAGTGCTTCTAGTATTCATGCTATAATTACCAAAGTCGTTTCCTCTTGATGAGAGAAATTCAATAACTTTAAATACATTTTTGCGCAACTTTAACTCAAAATTATGCTCGAGACGAGCTCACGTGGACAAATTGAGCAACAAGATAACGTATTAAAATGCTACAGAGGCGGCTAATGACTTTTAGATGAAGGCAATTTTCTTACCATATCCAAATTCACATTTAAAATGAAGACTAAAACAAGAACTAAATCAAAACTAGAACAGACGCTAGAATTCCTACTGGGCCCAGAAGGAAACCGCGTGGACGAACATTCCCGTTTGTGCTGTGAACTTCGAGGAATTTAATTTCTATAAATAGAGCTCTCACATATTTCCTAGCCGATCACGGCCCTACAGCGCCCTACGTGCATTGATTTGATCTACGTCATACGAAGGATTGAATTTGGGGCTCTAAGGTCGATTCATTGATTATTGTTGATATTTGATATGTTCGATTGATGACTGTTCATTATTTGATATGTTCGACTGTGAAATTATAGGGGACACGATACTTTACACATTGGAAAATGCACAAGGATCATTTAATCAATTATACAGGACTAAAACCCTATTACACAAACTAAATACACTAACTGCTTATCTTACGTTAAACTGCGATATTCTAAAGGCAGTGTAGCTTACGTCTCGTGGAAGTCTTTATCGAAAAAATTGATTTCCATGCATATTACACATTGCAAAAAACCAGAAAAACATAGATCGTTCTTTTAGATTTAACACATAGTTCAATATCAGTACTTAGTGGTCTCTTTGTGATAGAATTTGAGGGATATTACCAAAGTTGACATTTTGAAAAATTAATTTCTTCTTACTTACAGAAAATTAAAAGACTATACAAAAGAAATTAGTATCACTGCTCTTTAACCACAATGATACTAAATTTGTAGATAGAAATAAACAATAAATATAATCAATTTTTATTCTCGAGGATGTCTCTTACATGTTTAACAGTAATCAAGTCTGATTACTTGCAATGGCCATTCTTGACAGAAAGAGTGAGAGAAATACTTTCATGTTCCTGGGATGAAGACCAAACGCACGAATCAAGGCTTGCAAAATATTGCCATCCTGGAAAATGGCTTCACGTTTTGGGAACTATATCTTACGCATCAGGTGGAATTGTTCTTTTAGGATTTGTTCTTTAACTGGCAAAAGCCATTAGTATCTTTATTTCCTATACAAAAACTTTATTTCATAATTTAATTTTCAAACAAAATTTTCAAATTGATAATAACAACATTCCTCCGAGCTGTTAATTAGGCGACTCATTAAGTTTATCAATCTAGGAAACATAAAATATGTACAGTTCCCTCGCGGCAATTCGATCTTCTGACCTTACGAATTGTAATCGGAAGATTTTCTACAATTACATCGGCAAGGCAGCCATAGGAGGGGAAAAATACCTTATAATCCAGCTCATTTAAATTCTGATTGGGAAGGCGAGGACCAGTCGCCAAATCATGGTGGTGAAAAATTATCGTCAAACACGTTTTGTTTCGGGCGCCTCTGTAGAATCATTTGATTTTTTCTAAGAATGGAAGCATAAAGAATGAGCGATGCCCTCGTTTGCATTTGAACTGTGAACCTGTTTAATACTAATTGGGCGTGTTTTCCAGATGTACCATGAAGGCATGTGGTAAGGAACGAGAAAATAACTTACAAATTAAATACTGCCACAAATTTAACTATAAAACTTAAATTTATCCCTAAGATCGGCAAACCTTCTTTTTGTGTAGCATGGAACAAAAGAATGATAGTTAAAATATCATAGCAAAATCACAAAATCACTTTGAGCCCTTCTTTTATCTTACGCTATTAAGAAAGATTGCGTAACTCAGAATGCTTCGAATAGTGACAAGATGTATTGTCACTACCGGCAAAGGAAGGCGATTGTTAGATTTCCTTAAGCCTGAATAATGCCATCGAAAATCCAAAAAGCGCTCATAGTTCTGGGAAGACATTTGTAGAAAGAATGGCAACAGGCTCATCATTGTTCGTTGTTGGAATTAGAAGAACTAAAATGTCAAAAAGAAGTTTGAGTTTTATGCATTACATTGAAATTTTGCGGATACTGGAAAGAGCAATAAATAAAATGGTAGATATAATTACCATATCAGGATCATTTCTCACAACCATACAATTGTGCACTGAATCTTCGTATGCAGCAAATTAGGCACAATTCGTCAGCAGATAATGTTTTTCAAATATTCGGTCTGTCTTAGTGAAAGTCGACTCATTTAATCAGAAGTAAATATTCTGCATTTTAATTACTTAAAATATAAACAGAAATGTCGCACTACCTAATGAGCAATATTTGAAGCGGGATGAATGTTTCTTCTATGAAAGCTTTTCAGCTGATAAATAAATTTCTTTTTCACATATGAGAAATTTATTAACTTTTGAAAATTGTAATTTTAATCCTCTCCTAACAAACCTCGCAAACTTTCTCTTTTTTCATTTGTGCTTTGAGATTTACCTTAGCAGGTAGTTAGTGAGTGAGTGGCGGTAGAACGTAGTCACCAACACTCGATCATATGGTTATTTGGTGTAACGCAGAATTTATCTTTATTAAATATATATATATATATGTGTGTACATAAGGCGATTTAAATATGCTAGCAGTTGACACTGATGTGAAATATGTACCTACACGTACATTTGGCTGCTGTACAATGAAATATGTACATACGCTGCTTTAAAAAGATATATAGGATAGTTAAACAGACTGGTAATTAGTCTAATAATCATTTGTAAAATAACTTATATTAAATCTGGAGACAATGGAATTCGTATGATATAAATTCGATGCAATACATTTGGTAAATACAATTTGAATGCAATGTTTGCAATTTTGGTACAATTGTCGGTACAATAGTTTATAGCACTCTAATATTTTTGTCTAATATTTTTTATACGTTTAGTAAGGACATACGGTTATATATAAATAACAGAAAATATGTATAGTCTGTCTCAATATTGATAGAGCAGAGTTGGTATAATACATTTTATATGCATATACAACAAAGTTATTTGATATAATATAGTTAAGATAAAAAAATACAGTATTTATTACAGTACAATATTGGTACTATATATTTAGTACAATACAGATTTGATAATGTGACACTATAAGAATACGAACCATGTACAACAAAAAATAATATTCATATTAAAATTTTCTTTATAAGCTGTAGAGTTATTAGGTTTTTTGAAGCAGGAGAGGTGACAAATATGCAGTGCCCTCGCCGGGACTCGAACCCTGCACCTCTTGAATGCGTATCAAGTATGCTTCCAATTACACCACGAAGGCATACGCAAAGGAGGGAGAAAATACCATATATAATTCCCCTGGTGTTTAAGGTTTGCGAACAACTGTAGAACCAATCCACCAATAAGAAAAGAATCCTACCTTTTTGCAGGCTTCGCACACTTCACACCGTGCTAATCCATACTTACGAATCCATATTTTTGAATAATATCCGGCTTACCGGCACTTCGCACCAAAAATGTTTATGTACGCCGCACTAATGTACACTAATCAAATCAACGAATGGCGCTGTCTACGCATCCCCTTTTAAAGGAGAGTGAGGATTAGGGGACCCAATCGCCAAATTCGGGTGGTGACGAATCTTTTAGTTCGGGTGACAATTGTAGAGTCGTTAATTTATGTTGATGCTGAAACATGAAACATGTGCAGTGTCCTCGTCAAGACTAATATTGATATTAATAATGTTTAAACTAATAATACCAGTAATCATTTGCTAAAGCTACATACTAAATATGTAATAATTAGAACTAAATATTTATAATAGTTTAATCACATATTAGTAATAATTAGATTTTGGTTGTATATAATGTATGTTAATATTTATTGTATTGTAAGGTCTATTTTAATTTGATAACGGTTATTTTAACTTGGAAAGCCTTTCCTATCAATTCTTATTCCTACTCACAACTAACCCCCTACCAGAATAAGTTTAGAATTGCTTTGAATGCAAATGAGTTAGAAGAAGTATTTAAGGAAGGTTCAGCTTACTTCGCGGGAGAGAGTTTATTTCGTCCTCTGAGTTTAAGTCCGAGAAAAGGGGCGACTGTTAATCTTATTCTGAGGGAAATAAAGCGTAGTTTAACTCTTCTTAAATCTACATTTTTAGTTACTTGAACTCAACGATACGTCACTGCACAGTTCACTATGCTCCTCAACGTTTATCTTAGACAAAAAGAGGGAGGAACTCTTCAGTACATACGAGAATAAAGTGTCGCATAGTCACGCAACAGTCTCGTGAATAAGTCATTTAACAGTGACGTACTTATGTTCTTCATATATTTTATAGATAATTACATAATAGTTTCATCAGCAGGTAATATGGATACGTATAGATAGAGATATGGTGAAGTATGATGGACACCCGTTGTTTAGTCAAGTAATGTAGGTACATCCGTTCTAATTATCCAGATGACTTTCCAGATCCATTACCCTTCACAGGGCCCACAAGAGGCCAAGCCAGGCGTTGCTATGTTTTATACTGCGTTGCATAGCTCCATGCAATTGTGGACAAAAAGTTCATAATGTTTATGATTTCCTTTCTGAGATGTATGTTCTTAATAGCATACCTTATAAAAGGATTTATTTCACTTCCTGAGTTCGGAAGTTGCAGAAGATGTTAAGCCATGAGGGAGCATTTAAATAAATAGTGTTCAGGACTGCCTCTTTCTCCGTGTACACTAATCTGATGTAGGTAAGTTCCTTGCATAAAAGTTCGTGGGAAAAGGGCAATGCCCCGATGTGAACGATGTTATTCCTCTTGTTACTGAACTGGGTGCAGTTCCTGCTTTTGAGAACAGTTATATCAACTGTTCCCAAAAAGGTCCATCGCTCTTATTCGTCGTTGTCCCACCAGTTCTGCCATTCGTCTTTAGTCATTGGTTATGGATTTTTTTTAAGGGGCAACCTAGGCCATGGCACTGATAAATTATCTATATTTTGACACCAGCTACATTTTTGGTAAAGATCTCAATCTCCTTGTTGTCTTTTGTTCCTGCCTGTTCATTCAGCAAGGTGATGTTGATTTTGTGATGTCAAAATTCTTTCTTTAGTCTCTTGGATTATTTTTGATCCATGATGCGGGTTCGCGATGGCAGGCATCGCTGAATGTCTGTCTGTGAATATATATGACTTTTTTTCTTTTTTTGCTTTCCAGATTGTGTTTCAGGTGCAATACCCGGAATGCATCAACGAAATGAATGCTCTATATTACTATTCTGACTCGGTGGCCTTCGAAAAAATTTTACGTAGCCTACGAATACACCTTCCCATATAATAACTAATTCTATTTTTTCATGAATTATTTTTTATTTATCTAAGAAGAATTTGTAGGGAAAAAATTAATATTTTAATGCGTTAGAGGTCACTGTTTATTATTTTTAATAGTGTTAAAGCAAATGTGAATAAAGCCCCAGAAAATGCGCAAAAATGAAACTAATTCATTTAGTGTGAAAAAAATTGTATTCAAATTTAAAAATGCGTATTTGATTACCTTCATCTTTTTTCTTCGTTCTTTTCTTTGTTTAAGAGTACATTTATTTGCGGACAGACGTTTTCTCCGTAGGTAAAAATTAATAAGAACAGAATCAGAATAACCGGTGATCATCTAAAATTTACGATGAAGATAGCTTCTAGAAATTTTCCTCTAATGTTGTAAAATTTGTGAATATCGAAACTTTATGAGATGTTTTAGTTAAAATTTCTAGTAAGATATAAAGAAGTTTATAACTATATAAATACCGGTATAAGCATTGTTTTATATTTATCAAAGAAAAATTTAATTAATAATGGAAAGAAAATAGGATTGTTATTATTTATTTTCAAGTTTTATTCCACTTGAGATGTTTTCATAATTTGTTTCAGTTGAAAGTAAGTTATTTACAGGCTAATTTAACATAATAGTATAATTTTAGTAAATTCGAGTCTGAAAATGTAATATTTAATTCTCAATGCGTTTGAACTGCAAAGTATAATCGACAAAAGTTTGTCACACATAAGAACTTTAAGATTTCAGACAGAAAATAAATAAAAATTGGAATCGTTTCTTTTGCGTCATTATAATTACTGTTTTTGAATATTTTTATAAATATTTAGTAAACTTCAAATTTAGCGAAAATAGTTTTACTTTATTAAAACAGAAAGTTTTTAATTTGACAAAAATATATTTCTCCCCTGCCGCTGCTTTAAGATTGTGCGTTCAAACATCGTTCAATTTGAATTTGAGACTATTCTAGTTAACAGCAGTGTAATAACTAGTCAAATTACTTCATAATCATAAAGTACTTTGGTTAGTCATATGCAAAACCTACAAATACATTATGTTTATTATTATGTTTTCGAATCTTCCGTTGATATATATGCAATAACAATTTATGCCGTTTTCGCTCCAAAAAATGAGTTAGACATAGGTAGACAATAATTACATACTTTATGCAGCATGTATTATGACCATTACTAATGCAATACGATTTCATTACTAAGCATAGCCACGATATTTCAAAATTAATAATTCAATTGGATTAAAACATTAATAATAAAATTTATGCTTGTTATGACCTCTAAGAAACACATTAATTTGTTAATTTTCTGACATGATATTTGTTCTACACCATTTTCATAAAATATGCATTTATTTCATGTTATTAGCAAATGCATTGAAGGAATAAAATACGAGTAATTCTCAATGACTTTAAGCAGATCATATACCAGGAAAGAATGAAACGTTATGAGCCTTACACTAAAGATGATGTTTATGCTACATTTTCCCATCATGATTTCTGTTCACAATCAGCCTCCCATATCACTGCATTTTTGCATTCTGTGGTGTATCAATAATTTACTTACGTTCATCTTACAGAATAATTTCATCTAAGTATCACTATAATAAAGCCACCGTACAAAATATCAACATCAGTATTGTAGGTGGGCCACCATCGCCTTTCCTATGAAGGGACGGAGCGCCTTACAACCCTGCCTTCTCCGGGATTCGAACCCAGGCCCTTCGGCATCGCAGTCAGCTTCCCTGGCCACTATACCGACTGGGAGGCTCAGTATTGAAGTGACGTCGTAGAAATAGAATTTTCTTAGCAGGGAACTAATGAAAATGTGATGGGCTTCATAATGGAGAACTGATGAAATCATGAGAGGGGAATAAAGTGGATAGAGATATACGTTGAAGCCAAAATCGACCAAAACAGCTTGAGCATTGTGTAGGATGACTCCTTTCTCAATTTTCCCATATATCTTCTCTTCTATTCTAGATCTCAGTATGTATGTCAGATTGACATCATATTTTTCATTGATTGTGGAGTCTTTTGTCGCATAATTAGTTCATTTCCACTAGTGTTTTCTCCCAGGGACTAGTTGAGCCGACATACTACTCATAGGCAGTTCTTAATGATTGATATTCCACACTCGTTTGGTAGAGATCTTCGAAGGTTCAGACGTTGTTTCCATGTCATTCCATGATCATTCATAATCACTTCATTTCCGATGTTGATGCTGTCAATGGAAGTCTTTTTCGTGGGGCATTAAATGGCTTTCGCGTCTACGTTTGGACACCATTTAAGTGGTGCCAGTGATGAGGCTGCATTTCTTAACATATACTACAGCATAGTTTCGTCGAATGTTTCAGTGAGGTTCTCCCTGGCCAGTCCCAGGAGGATACAATACTAAGCTCTTTAATTATATTTATTCATGCATTTTTTTTTAATTCCATCGACGGGATCCAACAGGCTGAAAAGCACCTAACCCAGTGGGCCAGCTGTTCTGTCGATGGTGAAAAGAAAAAGAAAGTGAGACTCTCCCTATAGAGGTATCGGATCACGGATCAATCAGCCACACTCTTCTTTGGAATTCCATTCATATTTCCTCTTGAAGAAAGAAAGAAAATAACATGTTAACATGTTCTAATGCCCAGCGGGTCATAAAGCTTCAGCGTAACTTTATGCAAAAGTCTAACTACCTATCGTCATTATTCCTCCGTGAGGCTAAAATGTTTTCTCCCTTTCTATGTGGTTGTGCTACCTGTGCATCTGACTGCCTGCATCCGCCAGTATGTATATAATATGGTAAACATCTGTTGAAGATTCTATAGAGTTACTATCGCAGTTTGAATAGAAGTTTTCATTCAGTGTGCATTTAGTTTGGTGCAATAGATGGGAGATGGGCATTAACATTTCGGAGATAAAGGATAGGCCAAAGTTTTAACACATTACTATTCTGAGAAATTACCGCGACTGCAGTAATTTTTGAAAAAAAAAAAA